TGGATAGTTTGACTAATGAAAAGTGGGCAATTGTTTGGTTGAATAGAGGTAGGGAGGCCAAACTGAGGGGTAAAACTGTCTAGAAGGGAGTTGGCAATGGTTGAGCCCTTTTCTGAGTCACTGAACAAAGTGTCTACTCATCCAGTAAATGTATCTACCCGGATCAGGAGATACTTTAACTTTTGCACCCACAGCATGTGGGGAAAATCAATTTGCTGACCCTGAGCTGGAGAAACGCCTCATTTTGATGTGTAGGTTAGCATTAGGAGGTAGCATCTGACTGGCAAGAGGCTTTGGGGAAAGGAGAGAAACAGTTGCAGTGGCCACAGCAGCAGGCTCAGTAGGGGACTTCTTGGGTGGACTGAGGTCAGCTGGATCCATTGTCGGGGAGGAGGTGGCATTGGGTGGAGTAGGGCAGGCGGGAGGGAAAGAAGGATTTGAGAGGAGAACAGGAGGAGCACAGGGTGGGGAAGTTCAGAAGTGTGAGAAATGCCTGGATATGGAGTATCTCAGACCATTTGCCCAACTTTTGGAAAGTCTTGTAAGATAGAAAAATCAAAAAGGCCATTTTCTGACCCTTGGGAAACACTTTAAGTTTATATCATGGTCAAGTGGTATTAAAAAATATGCATTTAGAATTTGGACAAAGGGAGAGGTAGAAATGTTTTAGATTTTCTGAGGCAGGCTGGGGAAATAGATGGAGGAAGGTTTTCCATGGAGAGCAGAGAGAGGTGATGAGTGCAGTTAACTGGATCAACAGCACGTTTTACCACGTAAAAGAGATCACCTGTAGAGACAGACAGAAGCAAACAAATGGCTCAGAGAAATTCTGCCCTGGCTCCTAGGGTGAAGAAGACTAAGACATCTGTGTTATCTATTTAATCACATAGGCAATCCCTTTAACAGGAGGACAAAACTATGCTTTGTTTACAGTATAATATAAAATATTTGTGTCTCTGAAATTGCAGGTTAAACTTTATATCCATTGCCTAGTATCTACAATTTACATGTTAGTAAAAGCACACCTATCAATTTTTTTACATTCATATGAAAGAAGAGAAAGGCTAGCTAAAAATCTTTCATATACTCAGCATATGTAAAGCATGAGTAAATTTTCTTGATAGCTTTGTAAAAACTTTTTTGTCTTTTTGAGACAAGGGCTTGCTATGTAGTTTGGGCTGGCCTTGAGCTCATCTTGTAGCCCAGGCTGTCTTGAACTCGCAATGACCTTTTCCTCAGTCTCTGGAGTGCTGGGATTACAGGCATGAGCCACCACACCCAGCTCTTCTTGATAGCTATTTTCCCGTTAAATGCAAACTTTTGTTGTATGCAGTTTAAATTTAATCTCCTGGAGGGGAGGGTGGTCTCCAATCAAAGTTTTAAAAATTAACTCTTGATAAGTTGGAGAAAAATTGGGGTCTGATGAGAAAGAGTCTAAATGCTGGCTGACTTGGAAAGGTCTGACAGAAAAGAATATAAACTCAAACTCTGAGACAGATGGAAAGCAAGGGATTAAGGCAAAACTGTAGTTCAGACTTCGTAGCGATTGGGAGAGCGCATGGTGGAGGGTTAGAGAAGCAGCTGCAGTGGTGGTGGCAGGTGGGGCAGCTGTCATATGAGATGCCCCTGGGTGGGCCTGGGCTAGGTACACAGCCAGACAGCCTCAGTGTGGCAGTGGAGAGGGTGGTGACAGCACAGTGTGCAGTCCTATGTCTTCTTGTCCAAGTGGTTTCAGTCTTATCAGAAGATGGCTGACTGTTTGTACAGGTGCCATGGGTAGTTTCTTGGGGCCGGCTGTGGTTCTGCTGCATGCTCAAGTGCCAGGTAAGGTGGCTATGTCTTGCTACTAGTCTGTGAGGGTGGTGAGCTGGCTCAGGGCTGGACTAGGCTGAGTCAGGCATACTGGATGCAGGTGTCAGTACTTAGGTTGTATAGGCTGAGACTGCTGGTCTGGGCCCCGTGCACTGACAGTGTGGTGTCTCTCAGTGGTCCGTGGTCAGGCCTCCAGACACAAGCCTCTTGATGAATGTTGGTGGTGGAAAGTGGCAGAGGGCATCTGGGTTTGTGTGGTGGTGCTGAGGAGGAGGGAGTTGGATAAGGAAGTGGAAGAGAAAGTCTTATCTGATCTGAAGCTGGCAGGGACTGTCTGGGGACATGTTCTGAAAAGCCAATGTTACATGGTGGCCTCTTTGAAACAAAAAGGGCTCAAGATAGGTATCAAGGACCTCCAGAGAGGATCACCCTATTCTGGGTTTTGGCACCAAATATGTTAAAGGTGTGGAGAGGAGAAACCACCTGTTTTTTGAATAAGCAGTCATGGTTTTGAGTAAGCAACTACTGCTATTTATTCACTTTGGTGGGAATGGACTGAATTCTGAGAAAGGAATTAGCAGGAAGTGAGGATGTAAGGGTTTTCCAGTGCAATAGAGATGCAAAAGGAAAGAAAAAGTGACCTTTATTGAGGCCATGGAGAGGAGTGCACCATTCATGGGGTTGGGCATTCTGTTCTTCTGGATACAGAGGGGATAGAGGTTATGTGACCTAGCAGTGCTCAGGGAAGGCACTGATTATGCATGAGGATTAGAATTTCTTTCTGTACGTGGGAAAGGAAAGAGAAAGTTGTAATCAGGGCTAAAGGGGAAGGAGGAAGAAGTACTTATCAGGGTAAGTGTTGTTTTTGCCTTGACCATGTTAGATCACCGCCATTATATCCAGTAACTTATACTAGAGCAGAAACCTTTCAGAGGGTAGAAAAAAGATTTTAAAGGGAAGTGGAGGAGTTTGATGCTTTGAGGAATTTGGGAATAGAGATAGTGTGGTTTTGCTTGTCTGAACAGACAGTGCACATGTGCATGTGGTCACTCCCTCAGGGTGGGCAGTGCAGATGTAGCTGAACTTCCTGGAACTAAGCATGGTGGGCCCGGTGTTTTGTAGTGGTTTTCCTGCCAGGCATGATAAGCACTAAATTTCATTAAATTTCACCTAAACCTTGTGCTTGTTGGGGCACAATTTTAATGTAAGAAGACATTTATAAAATAGCAAATTTATAGATATTTAATAATACAAATTTAAGGGTAATTAAAAGTTTTTGATTAAGTTTCCACTGAATTCAGTTGACCTTGACTGTCTAAAGCTCAGCTGCATACCTCTGATAAACACTGAGTCAGAGTATTTGTCTATACCTTAAAGTCATTCTGGGCTAGTTAAGGACACCTTTAACTATGCTCAACCTGTAAAGACCCTCTGCTTTGTTTCTGGAATGTTGTTATATTATAATAAGCAATTCCTTTGTTTCAGCAGATCTCTTCAACAGTGATTGAGTATTTTTGGGTCTCAACCTAAAGGTGCAGAAATAATGAGGAAAAAGCCAAAGAATGGAAAGACCTTTAATGCAGGCCCAGGAGAGATTCACACACTGAGAATGAGGGATTTCTCTCTGGACAAAGAATTGGGAGTTGCTTACAAAGATTACCTTTTTGGGGAGGAGTCTGGTTAGTTGACAGTTATGGATTATTGCTACATATTAGTGTGCTCATGTTGGGGAGTGGGGAATCCTCTTTGGATCAGGAAGAAGTCTGATACGGTGTCTTTGTGGCTTTTTTTTGCCATGTTGGACCACCGTCATGAGGATGCACAGATTTATGTGGCTAAAAAAACCCATCAAATGCTAGCCTGCTGTTATACTAAAAAGCACCGCCATGCTGTTCTGTATGCACCATCACCTGGGTAACCTGTTTGCTGTGTTAACCTTTGTTCCCCTTGCGAGGGACAATTGTTCCTGGAATCAGTCGACCCTGAGTTACCTATATTCCTCTTGACCTTTGTCCTCCTTTTGTGAAAGATAGTTGATCCTGAAATTAGTAGACAAGGGGCTATAAATTCTTGTAAAGAAAGAAATGGCTGACCACCAACTGTGAAACTTCTCTGTCCTCAAGCAGAGGAGAACAAAGGTCTTCACTATTCCTGTTCCCCCTATTTTGTGTTTTTTTCCCCCCAATAAAAGTCTGTCCAAATTTTAACCCAGTTACACAGTTTTGCAAACTCCAACTGTGCTATGTCGCTGGTGCCAGCTTAAATAAAGCACTCCTTTTTCTTTTAAAAAACATCTTGCCCCATTTTTTGAACAGTATTTCAGGGTGTCATTTTTGGGGTATAACACCTGCCTGTCAATATATTACTAAATGCATGTAACCAATTATGTAATATTTTGTAACTTGTTTTGTACTTTCCTCTTCTAAATGCTGAATCACCTAAACTCTGTAAATTCAGGGCTGTTGTCTTTCGGGATGCTCCCACAACAGTCCACTGGTGTGAAGCTTCAACAGTCCACTAGCGTGAAGATTAAATGCTGCCTCTTGTCCCCTCAGTACAAAGAGTCTTATCTTTGGTTTGGCTTGGGAATTTTCCCACATGATCACCCTGTCAAAAAATCTTTTAAGAATTTTTCCCATTATTTGCTGAAATGAACCATGTCTTTTTGACATACAACCTCTCTCACTGTATGACCTTAAACATTTGATTTTTAATAAAAGAGGCATGGAAAGTGTTTATTCAAGATTTTAGGGTGCACTAAAGAGTGGAGTGTGGGTGCTTAGAGAATGAGGTGTATTACAGTTTGGGACTGGGAATATGTGTAAACCTTTGGCAGTGGAAATATGTGGAATTTGATAATCTATAGTCTTGGTCTCAGCCTAGTGGATGGGGGCAGATGGCTCATCCATGGTAAGATTATCTTTGTTTTGATTGGTGGCCTGATTTACATGTGATTTACATGTGAAAAGTCTATTTACTTTGCAAGTAAAAAGGAAATAGCCGAATGGCATTGTTGGTAGATCATTAGGATCAGAAGGTGAGGCACAGATGATGGCACTAATACCCTTATGGAAAGAGGAGCTAAGGGAACTGTCTCTGCATGGATGCACCAAATAAGGCTAGGTGGGAACACAGCTGGGAAAGAATGTGCTTCCAATGACTAAAACCATGTCACATTTCAATTTCAGACTTCCAGTCTCCAGAGTATAACATCTGGGGAGAGCTACACACCACATCATTCTATGCCATGCTGGAAAGTCCAGGAGTAAACAGCAAATCACTTCTCTGTCACATCATGTCACTGCTCTACTGGAACATACATCTCCCTGTGATGCCAAACTCAGTGATGATAAAGAACTAAAGAAGCAGTTTTCCTTTTTATCGGTACCGGGGATCGAACTCACAACTGCCTGCTTTCAAGGCAGGCGCTTATGCCGATGAGCTAAATCCCAACCCCTAAAGAAGCAGTTTTAAAAAAGAGAAGATGGTTTTTGAATATGGGGAAGGAGGAAAAGAGAAATGAAAGTTACTCTGGATTAGTATGAAGATTCAAAAGTAAAATTACTCTAAATTCGTGCCTCCGGCTCCTCTTACTGAGATCCTTGTCCCATCTAGGTTCCTAGAATCTGATTGGTCCCTTGGCTTGACTTTCATCCTTACTTTGAATTTCTTCTGGCTATTCAACCTTTTTGTGTGCTTTGGTGGAGGGTAACACTATGAGTGGGGCTTTATAGACTGTAAAGGGGAAGTAAGGGGGAAGTTTGTGATTTTTGCATTAATCATGCTACTTAGGAACTTTGAGCTGAGTTCTTTGTCTTCTCAATTGTTGGAGTTTAACTGTCTTTGTCTTTCTAATTCCTCAATGTCTAACTGACATTTCCCTTCTAATTGCTGGAGTCTGGCTACAGAGGTTGAAGCTGTCTTATTAATTTTCAATAAAGCTCAATGAGGCCTTTATCCTACTTTTTCCCTACCTGCAGTGCTTTACCAGAGTGTGAAAAATAAGTTGTTGAATCTGTCTTATGTTATTATTGTAGCAGCCCAAATTGACTAAAATACTACCACTCACCAATGAATCGTGGTTTTCTTGCTCTGTGTTTCTCTTTCATATTTTTCTAGATGACATACTGTTTATGTTATTTCATTTTGAGGAAAATAAAGTGGTAGGCTAGGGGATAATCAAGAGATTATCAGTAAATAACACTAAATACAATCAATATGAAGCTATCATGGATATATTGAAGATGTCAAACACCAACAGGAAATGCATTTTTTAAACCAAGCATGTATCAAGCTCTTTTTTTTTATTTAAAAGAAAAAAGAGAAAAAAACAGGACAAAACAAAACAGTGTAAGGGTACAAGAAATACAGAACGACAAAAAAAAAAAACAGTAAGATATCACTAGTTAATAGATTACACACTATCATCTTTGAAATTGTTATTCAGGTCACAGGATCAAAGCAAGTGAGCATTCAAACAGTGAGACTGCAAATAGTTGTTTTCAATGATCCTATCAAAAATATTAATATGGTCATCTATTTAACATACCTAAACACACTTGCTGTTGTATCTGATAGGATTATTTCCAAAAGATGAAAAATATTTCCAAAAGATGAGAAGTATAAAATAAATAGAGGCCTTTATTCTGAGAACACGGAGAGAGATAAACGGCACACCCCACCGCTGGGCGGACACATGGTGTGGGGGTATGTAAGTAGCCTCGGTTTGGGGTGGAACCTAAGGCGGGCATTAGGGATGCACAGGTAGCCCATTGGTCCTAGGTTTCGTGCCATAGGTAAATTCCCAGGGGCGGGAAGATGGCGTCACATGTAAATTCCTAGGGGTGCGGGAGATAGGGGCCTCCTGCTTCCAGTTGAGGCTTTCCTGGCTACAGTGTCCTGTCTGGGCCAAAACCCTTTCAATATCCTTTAGAGCACTTTTTTTTCCCCTCTCTTTATCACAACAAAATTTACACATTTTGGGTTTTATTGCTCCTGTAGATCTTATTACTTTTTTTGGTAAGAGAATAAAATCAAACATGATAAAACAAAGCTATCAGTCAAAATCAAGGATAGACATAGCACATGATGTAAAACCGGAGTACAAGGTTATCAACAATGGTTACCATAATGCCTCTTGCTTCCTTAAGAAGAATTGTCTATCTCATTAGGTATTATAAAGTTGAACAAAACAGTAGAGAATAAGACCAACAAAACCTAAACTTTGTAAACCTTACAGAACTTCAGAAGAGGATAACAGTCAAACCAGAATGGGCATCAAAGTGAATCTTATTGCCTTCAAAGTAATTGCCTATACTCTGATATTTAATACTATCATACAGAGCAGAACAGAGTCTAATCAGTCAAAACAAGATAGTGGGAGTATTACAGGACTTCAAATCAAGTTAATAGGAAATCAAAAAAGGTACTATAATATATCCTGCTAGTTTTTTAAAAATTTTTCCCCTTAGTTTAAAAAAGAAATAAAAAAAATTAAACAATTTTTTAATGAATAAGGGAGAGGTTGAGATAAAAGAGGGTATAACAACATAACAATACAGGTCAAAGCATGACAGTTTCAGCAACCTAGTGCTTCACCACCAAATAACCTGACTTAATAGTAGTTACCATAGTGTCTTTTTCCTTGAAATATTTGAATATAACTTCATATGCTATAGCATCAAACATATCAAGACAGTGTAACACCATTCAAGTGGATAAAAGCATTGTAGAGTATTTAGAACCAGCTAACAGAAAAATGAACAATGGTTTCTATATTATCTCTGTGCCTATAACAATTTTTGTTTATACTACCACATATGATAAAATCCAGCAAGATACAACATGATAAAACCAATGGAGACAGAAGAGCCATAGTTTGGTGGGGCTTTAAAACAAGATGGTATTAAATCAGCACTAGCTATTATGATGTCTTGTTTTCTTCAGAATAGCTGTTCATTGCATCACAGGCCATAATATCAAACAGCCCAGAATAAAGCCATTCCAATTAATGAGTGAAAACTTTATAAGGCTTCAAGGCCACATAATGGGGAATCATGGTTACCACATACTTTTATATATTTGAATCATTTCCTACACTAGGGAAACTATTCAGTGTTCACAGATGAACAGATGAGTATGGCTTCAAGCTGCACCCATTTATTGATAAATATCTCAATGTGATCCTTCTTTATAGCTGAGTAGTACTCCATTGTATAGAAATACCATAACTTTTTTATCCATTCCTCAGTTGATGGACACTTGGGTTGTTTCCAAGATCCAGCAATTACAAATTGTGCTGCTATAAACATAGGTACACATATATCACTGTGGTATGATGCTTTCAGTTCTTCTGGGAATATGCCTAGAAGTAGAATAGCTAGAACAAATGGGACTTCCAATCCCAGTTTTTTGAGAAATCTCCAGACTGACCTCCACAAAGGTTGTACCAGTCTACACTTCCACCAACAGTGTAGGAGAGTTCCTTTTCCCCCATAGCCTCTCCAGCACTTGTTGTTGTTGGTTTTCTTAATTCTAGCTATTATTTCAGGAGTGAGATGGAATCTCAGTGTGGTTTTAATTTGCATTTCCCTAATGACCAATGATGATGAACACTTTTTCATGTATTTATTTGCCATTTGTATTTCTTCATCTGAAAAGTGTGTATTCATCTCAGATGCCCATTTTGGAATTGGGTCTTTGAATTTTGGGGGTATGAGTTTTTTTAATTCTTTATATGTTTTAGACAAAAGTCCTTTGTATGAGGGGGAGTTCACTAAGGTCTTTTCCCAGTTTGTGGATTTTCTTTTCACTATGCTGGAGATTTTTTTGACTTGCAGAAACTTTTTTAATAAGAGGTGGTCCCAGTTATTGATTCTGGGGAGTATTTCCCATGCCGTTTGAGTCCTGTTCATGAATTCTCTACCTACCCCTATGTCTCCAAGGTTTCTACCTAATTTGTCTTCCAATAGATTTAGTTTCTGTTTTAATATTCATATCTTTGATCCATTTAGATTTTAATTTAGTATATGATGATAGACTTGGGTCTAGTTTTAGTTTTAGGCAAATGGAGAGCCAGTATTTCCAACACCATTTATTAAAGAGTCTGTCATTCTTCCAGTGAACCTGCTTGGCTCCTTTATCAAAGATAAGGTGATTGAGTGTGTTTGTAGTTGTGGTTGTATCTTCTAATCTATTCCATTGATCTTCGGCTCTGTTTTGATTCCAGTACCATGTTGATTTTACTACTATTGCTTTGTAGTGTAACTTCAATTCAGGGACTGTGATGCCTCCTGCCTTGCCTTTGCTGCTTAGAATTGCCTTTGCCATTCTAGGTCTCTTCTGGTTCCAGATGAAATTTAGGAGTGATTTCTCTAGATCTATAAGGTATGTTGATAATATTTTTATTGGGATTGCATTGAATCTGTATAACAGTTTTGGGAGAATGGCCATTTTCACAATGTTTGTTCTTCCTATCCATGAGCAAGGGATGTCTTTCCATTTTCTGAGATCATCTTCAATTTCTTCTTTCAGTGTATTATAATTTTTTCTGTATAGGTTTTTCACTTCTTTCGTAAGAGTAATTCCTAAATATTTTATTTTTTTGGGTGCTAGTGTGAAGAGTGTGGCTTCTCTTATTTCTCTCTCTGTGATTTTGTTGTTAGTGTATAGAAATGCTCTTGATTTCTGAGTATTGATTTTGTATCCAGCTACATTACTGAATTTTATTTATTATATCTAAGTGTCTTTCAATGGAGTTTAGGGGATCTTCTATGTAGAGTATCATGTCATCTGCAAACAATGACAATTTAACTTCTTCTTTTCCTATCTTAACCCCTTTTATTTTTCTCTCTTGTCTAATTTCTCTGGCTAGTACTTCCAGTACTATATCAAATAGGAGTGGCGATAAAGGACATCCTTGTCTTGTGCCTGATTTTAAAGTAAAAGCTTTCAATTGTTGGCCATTTAGTATGATACTGGCTGTTGGTTTGTTATAGATGGCCTTTATTATATTGAGGTAAAGACCATCTATTCCAATTTTCTGTAAAGTTCTTATCATGAATGAATGTTGGACCTTATCAAAAGCTTTTCCGCATCTATAGAGATGATCATGTGATTCTTCCTTTTGGCTTTATTGATATGGTGGATTACATTTATTGATTTACGTATGTTGAACCATCCCTGCATGCCTGGGATGAATCCCACTTGGTCATGGTGTATACTCTTCTGGATGATTTGCTGCATCCTATTTGCCAATATTTTATTAAGGATTTTTGCATCTGTGTTCATTACGGAGATTGGTCTGTAGTTCTCTTTTTCAGTTGGGTCTTTCTCAGGTTTTGGTACTAGAGTAATATTTGCTTCCAGGAATGACTTGGGAAGGATTGCTTCCCTTTCAATTTCATTGAAGAGTTTCAGGAGTGTCGGCATTAGGTCTTCCTTGTAATTCTTGCAGAATTCTGCAGTGAATCTGTCTGGGCTTGGGCTCTTCTTTGTCAGTAAGGAATTAATTACTTGTTCAATTTCATTGATAGAGATTGGGTTATTCAACAGTTTTGTATCCTCTTGATCTAACTTTGGTACTTCATATGTTTCTAAGAATCTGTCTATTTCTTCTGTGTTATCAGACCTTTAAGAGTAGAGGTTTTCAAAATAGGTGTTGATGATATTCTGTATTTCTATAGAGTCTGTAGTGATTTCTCCTCTTTCATTCCTTATTGCATGAATTTGAGCTTTTTCTTCCCTTTTTAAAATAAGGTTGGCTAGGGGCTTATAGATTTTATTTATTCTTTCAAAGAACCTTTTCTTAGTCTCTATTGTGTTGATTTCTGCTCTGGTTTTTATAATTTCCTCTCTTCTTTTGGCTTTGGGCTTGACTTGCTCTTCTTTTTCTAGATGTTTGATGTGTAGCATCAGGTTGTTTATTTGTATTCGTTCTGTTTTCCTGATGTGGGAACTCAGTGCAATAAATTTTCCTCTGAGGGTGGCTTTCATTGCATCCCACAGATTCCGGCAAGTTGTATCTGTATTTTCATTTTCTTGTAGGTATCGCTTAATTTCTTCTCTAATTTC